GCTACAGTGTAATTGCTTGCCTTGGTTTCTTGGCCTGTGGGGTAGTTAATGATGTAGTCGCTGGCCTCTTGGACATAATGGCGATGGTTGATACACGTGGTAGAAGAGATAGTGTCACACAGTATGTCCGTTCACTAGAGCGTCAGTGCGAGAACTGAGGATGTGGGAGGGTGGCGGGCAGCCGTGTAGCGTGTCCAGAGACGCTTCTGGTGGGAAACATTGGGCGCGAAATTTAAAATATGATGCACCTTGATTGACTCGCGCAAAATGGGAAAGATTCATTTAAATTAAAACATTGTCCTTAATTGTGGGTGTCGTTCAAATCAATAATCTTAAATCGATTGACGTTTGTCATGGCTTTTATCGTAATGGGCTAAGTGTGGATTATATTATATAAAGATTATTTTATATTGTGTTTCTTATATTTCTTACCGTAGAGTTCGATACCTTCACACTGGTTACTGACAGGAGATTATGATGTATCTACGTAGAAATTCACTCCACCACCCGACATCCCATGATTTATACTTGATAAATGATGATTTAATGAGTTCCATTAATTTCCAACATCCATCTAAGTTATTGGTTATACTTTGTCATAACCAATCAGTCATTACCTTCAGTAATAATAAGATAGGATCACAGATACGGGCAGATAATTGCACTTACATTTATTTGTCAAGCTTCCATACAATGATACTGTATACAATTTGTATGAATATATGAGTCACTCACATTCACGCTGTAATAAAATTAATCTTTTAAAAGAGGGAATTTTCAACTTGGGGACACATGTGATTACTTTACTATCTGTATGACTTAACAGAGACTTAATTATTCAAGTGATACATTTACTGCCAGCCTGGATTGATCTTGTTGCAACCAGGCTTCCTCACAAGAACTTCTTTCCACGGGGAATAACAACAAAAAGGTACTCTTGGGTAACCACACATAATCTCGCGTCACTGGCAGTCACTGTAGACGGTTGTCACGGCAAGGAGAACTGGTAAGCGTGACTTGATTAACCACTTAGGTGCAATAGGCCAGCCTGGATTGCTTTTGTCGCAACCAGGCTTTCACATGTGATTTTTCCACGGGGAATACAAACCTAGGTTAACACACTTAATCTCGTGTCAATCACGGTCACTGTAGACGGGTTTCGTGCAGGAGAACTCTGTAAGCGTGAATCGATTAACCATTTACTGTAGGTTTGATAGGCCAGCCTGGATTGCTCTTGTCGCAACCAGGCATCCACACGTGATATTTCCACGGGGATAACAACCTTGGTTAGCACACTTAGTCTCGTGTCACTGACGGTCACAGGACGGGGTGACGGTGGAGGACTCTGTGTGGTGTCCCGTTCCCTTCAGGAGGGAGAAGGTGGATGTCTTAACTAACCCATGGCCTAGGGGATACTACTTAAAATGTGGTTTTGGTGCATGAGGCGATGTACAGTACAACACTGTCTCACTGGCCTCCCCCTATAGGCTGGCTAACATACAGTCTGCGCGGAATGTTAGATCGTGTGCTGAAAAAATATTGATATTTACGATTATGTTATATAAATAAAGTCAGGTAACACTTACCACTTCAATTAATACTTTGTAGTGTTTCCTCTGTGCTTCAGACAAGGTTTTGCAAGAGGTCAGGTGGCAAGTTAGCCCGGGTATGCTTGATGGCTGCCTCTAGCTTCGGGATTGATGATGTGTCAGCGTCGCGCAGACGACGCTTAACAATGGACCACAAATTTTTTATTGGGTTAAGATCTGGGCTACTGCCAGGCCAGTCATTAAGGAAAGGTACCTCACAGTCTTTGAGCCACTGTATGACACTTTTAGCAGTGTGGCATGGGGCACCGTCCTGCATGAAAAGGCTTGCTTTATCTTTATCAAATGATTCAGGTAAGAAATCACTGAGCAGTTCAAGATAGTTGTACTGATTCATCATCTGGTTCTTAGGGAGGATTACAAGTTTACCAACACCATAATACGTAAAGGAAGCCCAAACCATAAGTGAGGCAGGGTGCTTAACAGTCTTCACAGTGTACTGTGGGAGGTGCGCGTCTGAGTGGGGGGGGGCGGTACACCCTCCCTCCATTACTCCCAGTCACAGAAAACGTAGCCTCATCCTACCATAATACACTCCTCCATGTCTCTAAATCCCACACTTCATATTTCTTGCAAATTTCACTCTATTTTCCTTCTGTCTCTTTGTCAACAGAGGTTTACGGCGGGCACGAAAGCTCTTAAATCCCAGGTCATCGTGCAGGGCTTGTTGAACACAACTTAACGAGACGTGACTCAAAAGACGGGGGTTTCTCTCTTTCACTTCACGTGCTGTGAGTGAGGGATTGGACCGTACTTGTCGAGAAATAACCTAAGTGCCCGTGGAGACAATAATTTAGGCCTACCAGACTTAGGTAATGGAGCTGGTAACTCGTCCTCTCCAAGGTCACGGAAACGTTTGACAAGATTTTGAACAATTCGTAATGCCACACCAGTCTGAGCCAATATTTCTCTCAGTACATGGTTCGCTTTGTACAATGCAATCACTGCTGCAATATCGTCTCTTGTAGTAACCCTCCTGGACATCTCTGATGGCCACTATGTCGGGTTAATGCACCTTAAACTAGACAAAACATGGCCACATGGCGCGGGAACCCGCACAATAAATATTCCCCTCACAGCTGCCAGAGGCGCACTGACTACAAGCCGTGACGTGTTCTCAGTTGCCAAATGTCAGCACTTGCCAACAAACCAAGCGTTTTGACATCTCGCATCCCAGGACAGGCTTCACAACATATGATCTTATTTTTGCGAGAACTTAGTTCGTCGGCCCTATTGCGACTTAACATTCCGCGCAGACTGTACCATTAATGGAAAATATATGTCCCAGTCATGGCTCGCCGGGTGTCTTATCTCTACTAAAACAAACTTTGGAGTTGGTTGCGTGGGTAAGCCTAACGCGACCCATGACAAAGTTAAATCGACGTTCTACTGTACGTACAAGTATTCTTGGCATTTTTAGGTTCATCATGTTATTTAACATTAATCTGAATTATTACTACAAAATAATGCCACTCATAACTGGAAATTACTTGCAACTCATTTAAGGGACAGCACACAATACACGAATGGTTCTTGTATCCCACGACGACCCGTCTGGACTCTACTACCGCAACTGTACTAATCTCTTTTTAGTGAGGGGGAAGTGAGGACACACATTCATGATTTATCACTGGCATTACCAGTGCTTAACTTTGATAGTTGTATGGATTAGCCTTGCCCATTTAGTGATTTTCTTTCATCATGCGCCTAACTTTACACTATGGTTAGGTTTGATAATACGGTATTGAGATTATTTTTTATTATAAACATCTGACTGCGGGAGCAAAAATAGTCTGGAGTTAGCTAGATTGAAGGAAAATAAAGAAATACAGTGTAGTTCATGCAGTATTGTTTTTGTCTGCCAACACAAGTACTGGCACATATGAATCGTACCAGATAGTTAAATATCACTTGAAGACTGTGAATAAATCTGCACTCCAGTGTTTTTCAAGGGAATACATTTAGTACATCCCAGTGGACCCTATGATGTGTAGGAATATAAAACTATACCTAGTTATAGAAGCATGTTAAAGAAGAAGAGGTTGTAGCAGGAAGAAAATAAGAGTAAATTTTTGTTAAAGAAACAGTTAGAATCAAATAAAACAGAGTGTGAGGAAATGGTTCAAAATTCAAGGAACAGCAGAGAGGCCTTCCAACCACAAAAACAGAAGTGTTTATTCTCCCTGAAAAAACTTGCTGAAGCAATTAAACCTAAGAATAAAACAAAGCCAAAAGAGTGAATATCACTTGGGAAATAAAACTAAGTATTTTGTTTGTATATATCATGGAACAGCTTATTTTTCTTAATTTAGTACTACAGGTACTTATGTTATTGAAAACCCAGTTGTTGGTGCATTAGAGATAAAGCCCTTTGGTAAGTATTAAATTTTGAATTCTCACCCATTACAGTGCAAAAAAAGCTTACCTTTTAGTTTATCTTCTCTCAATAATGGTGCACAGTTAAAAATATTAAACAAATTCAAGTTTAGGTTCTCAACTGGCTCAGCCATGTTAATATTTTTATTATTATCGACTCTGTATCAGTGTTTTTTCTGGCTAAATAAACGGTTTCAATATCAATACCAATTAAGACTATATGTATGAAAAATATCGATTTTGGGTACGGTGTATTTTAACGATTAAGCTCATGAAATGAGTAATAATGTGAGAAATTAAGTTAAATATGGTAAAAACTTCCCAGCTAGATGTTTCCCTGGATCCCCAGTTAAAAAAAATATACAGTATATTTTTTTTAACTAGAGCCAATCACATCCCTGGAAATGTTTTACAGGAATATAGTAATAAAGGGCAATTGTGGTCTGCTAAAAAATATGATTATAAGTATTGACTTGTGATGAAGATTATTGTGGGTCCTGGCACTAGTGTTTGAATTTTGTGAAGGATTTTTAGGAGAGTACAATACTGCAAAGTTTATATGGCTCTATATAACCTTTGGGTAGAGCTCCCTTTTAACTTGGCATATATATAAATAAGTTAATGGGTTAAGTTACAAACCCAAATGGTATTTCTCCATTTATTGGTAAATTAAAAAGGTCACAGGCTATGAGTAAATGCACAATAATTAACGCTGTAAGCTGTGAGGGTTAGTTAAGGACAGGGCTCAGTTTGACTGAGTTAAGTCACCCGTCCGATTCTCGTGAGGCTCAAGTGAAGACTGACCCTACATTCTCAAGGTCGGCCTACTGATAGTGGAATTTCCCCTCACGTAAACAGCACATGGCAACTCACAGCTTATGGAAAATTACCGTTGGGTGATTGGATTACATAAACTAAATGTATTAACCCAAATTTATATAATTGTTATTGCCGTGAGACAGGGGCTAATACAGCTCTGTTTCTGTAAGTCTTATAAATTCATGTTTTATTTTCCAGATCATTGTTAGGAATTAGTAGTGGTGAAAATGAGGAGAACCACAACAACAGTCCAGCCATGAATGGCTCCGACACAACCAAACGACAGCCTGATTCCAATCGATGGAATGTTCCAAAAAAGGTACTTTAACTTTTCATAACCATATTACTGTACAGTACTGTAATATGTTTTTAGTCATACTTTGAGGTTAGATGGCCTTACAGAATCATTTTCAAGTATGTTGCTTTTTTGTTTATGTCACTGCCAACATTCAGTAAGGGTCATCAATTTATTATTTTCTTGTGATGCCTCATTCCCTTAATGAGGTCCCTTTTAAAAAGATGGCTATGATAGAAGTGCCTGCAAACCTCTGTCTTATTACATATTTCTCTTGCTCTCTAGTTTTTTTAACCCCATCACTACTGGGATGCCTCTGTTTGGCTGAAACTAGACTGTTTTATTCCCTCATCTAATATAGTTTCTTTGTATCCCTATCCAGTTTATTTCAAGTATTCTTCTCACTTGTCTTTACCATCATTAAGAGCATTTTTGTTTTCATCATCATCTCTTCAGAATTCACTACCTCGGCCTTCTCAGCTTTCCAAGCATCCCATACACTTCACTCCTCACTCCCTTCTCTTGTCCTCAGGGGCAGTCTTTTGGAGAAAAAGAGTTGAATCATGTGAAGATTAGATTGTTAGATTAGGTTAGGGATGGTTAGGTTAAGTTAGGTTAGCATTAAGGATAAATCATCACATGAGATAAGCTAGGGTGCCATTTTCACATGATCCCAAATACCTGTAGTTTGATATCAACAGCATTGTGCTTCTTTCTAACCTCAAGTTTCACTTGTCATATCTCAAGATAGGAATGATTATACTATCCTTCAGTTTCTTCACCACCACCTAATTTACTTTCCTTCCCATGAAAACACTTCCCTATTCTCTATTTGCCTTCACTCCTTCTTTCTTGTTAATGATCTCTTCCTCCTCTGTACCTCATTTGTGTACTTTTCTATTAACCTCTTCCTTCCCTTTTGCTCCATGTGTCAACACCACCTGATAAAAAAAAAAAAAAAAAATATATAAAATAAAATATATATATATATATATATATATATATATATATATATATATATATATATATATATATATATATATATATATATATATATATATATATATATATATATATATATATATATATATATATATATATATATATATATATATATATATATATATATATATATATATATATATATATATATATATATATATATATATATATATATATATATATATATATATATATATATATATATATATATATATATATATATATATATATATATATATAACTAGTTACCTACTTTTTAGTTCTTTTTAATGCTCTAACCTTTTCTTCTTTATTGAATCTTTTTTATACACTTCTCTAAGAAAAATACATTTACACTGCTCGCTTTGTCCCAATCAATCTGGTAAAAGTATTACACATAAGGTGATTCGTTCCCATACATGTAAATAGTTGTACACTGTGCCTTCCAACAGACTCTGGCACACAGCTAAACTGGCATTCTTACCTGACATTATTCTATTTAGGGCACCTGCCACCTGCTGTATCAACATTCATTTCTGCATATATATTATTAATACCTCACTTTATCTCCATTTTCAAAATAAAATGAAATTACTGAAAAGTACTTAGTGTAGTTAGTGTATGTACAGTAGTTGGAATTTATTATTATTATTATTTATTTATTTATTTTTTTTAATTGTATGCATTTTTCAGCCGCAGTCCACATTAGAGGCTCAGATACGTGATGCAGAGAAAGCTGTTATGGACAACTTTGACTTCTTACAATCTGAAGGTAGCTAATTCTTTTATTAACTTAAATACTCATCTGCTTTACCAGCTTGTTTATGAAAAAATTTTTGCTTATACGTACTTATTGCTAACCAATACTAAATGCAGGTTGAGTTTGCCATAGAACATAACTTAAGGTATCAGATCATGTGTTTTCAGTGCTCCCCACCTCACCCCACCAGCAGATCAGGCAGCATAAATATTATATCTCCCCTTCTGGGAAATGTTAACTTTTAAAATACAGTACAGTATTACCCCGCTTTACACGGTTTCACTTTCTGCGATTTCTCATTTACACGGTACCTTGCCAAAACCGGACTTTCACTTCCGCGGTGCATCTACTCATATACGCAGTGAAGTATAATTTTTTTTTTTTTTTTTTTTTATTTAGCTCATAAAATTCATACAAATTACCTGGCCAGAATATAATTTACATTGCTGGAATTCTTACAATATGATGATCATTTTGAATATAAACATCATGGATTTTGCATTAGACATACAAATTTTAGATCTAATGTAATAATTTGGTTTACACAAAGCAAATATTTTATCGTTTGTGCAAAATATATGAAGTTTACATTCAAAATATTCCCTGACCTGCAAGGAATCCAGAAATGTCAATTATATTATCTTAGCTTTAGTCTGAGGTATTATTTATTACTAAACGTTAAAATCTAGTGGTTTCACCCAAACATTTCTCAGAGAGTTAGGAGCTAGTGAGCTGGGAAGAGGGGGGGGGGGGATTTGAGTCCATTATTTGAATGGACATTAACCTGGCGACTGTATTTCTCTTAAATATTAATTGTGTGAGCGTACCATCATAAAATTAAGATGTTATTTTTACTACAACATAGGTATTGTGTCTGAAAACGTGGAGTTTGGGGGTCGGGCCAGTCTCTATTGGAATTAATCTCATATGTTCTGTTGTTCACTTTACGCGGTTTTCACTTTCCGCGGTACCCTGTGGGTTCAATTGACCGTGTAAATCGGGTACTACTGTATAGTCTGGTTTTATGCGGTTTTTGTTTACACATTTGGCCATTTATGCGGTGCCTTGCCAGAATGAAATGTTTTAATTACGCGGTAAATTTCATCATTTACGCGGTGAGCGGCTGGAGAGGTCCAAACCGCCACGCCATTTTTTACCCACGCGGTCCAGTCTTGACCATACTCGGGAAGCGGTGCGGTGAGTGGTGCGCATTAGGCCGCTCTTATGTTATCACTGACGTCATGTGACGTATCGGACTGCGATTGGGCCACGCATCCTTACCACCCAGGCATTCCCTCCGCCGCTAGCTGTGATTGGTCTAATGTAACATGACGTGCCCTGCCACCAGAGGGTAGAAGTCGCTGACCTAGCCGGGCCTGTCTCATTGTTCTCAGTCCGCGTATACAGTTCTCTTTTGGCTGTGGAACTTCTGACCTGGTTAATGCATTTTCCTTGCTTGTAACAGCTTGCCTTATTTGACAATAAAAATGGCTAAGAAAGAAACTATGTAATTTATTCTCTTCCATATCTATCTTTTTCATAAGTAGAAATACATCAAAATAATTAATCAATAAACTACTCACACAATGTCTTTTAGGATGTTAACCCTTGTTGCCAACGGCTGTGTACTGTTGTTTTAAGATTTCCTCTTACTAATTGCATGAATTTTGGGATTATTTCCTTGACAACATTTATAGTACTGTACCATATTGTATTTTGTAAGTGTTTGTGTGTTAGGTAGTTTTATGCTAGAGGCTTGCATCATTAACTCTGTGTGTGCGTGTGTGCGTGTTCCAAACTACAGAAAACCCAGATAATAAGATTACTGGGAATTACTTATTATTGTTGAGAGAATTTGTGTAGTAAAGAATGAATATATGAGAGGTGAAGGCTTTGGAAAGATACAATACACATATAATTGATTGATTGTGGTAATTACATCCCTGTGAACGCAACAGCTTAGGTCATATGCCGACCGCTGTACACAAATATAAGATGAATTGAGATGACGTATATGATGAGTGATGGTTAGTGGGAGTTTAAGTGGGAGAAAAACAGACCACATAAAGAACTCTGTGAAAATCCAGGAATACTTATATGCATAAGAAAGGAAACTGATGAGGGTATATATGAAAGAATGACTATAGATGAAGTTTTCATAGAATATTCAGTACATTGAACTTGATGTTTGAGTTACAAGCACAGTATGTAAGGAATGTAGAATGTAAAAGTCTTGATTTATTTGTCTGACTTAACCCCTAGGCCCCAGGTGACGTTCCAGAAAGTCTGCCTATTTTCCCGCCTTTTTTTATTTATTTATTTTTATTTATTTTTATTTTTTGAAAAGTTGATTTTTTTTTTACGATTTAACCCAGTGGAGGGGGGGGGTACTGCCAGCAGCACCCTAACCCGGGGCTGAAGGGTTAACATAGTTGAATATAAATGTGTTAAAAGTTTTTCTTATTTCTCTGTCTTGTACAGTTTACTTTCCCTCTCATAAGGGTTGGTGTACTATATCTAACCTATGTAGGTAATGTTAAAATGTGGTTCATAGAGGATAGTAGATTACATGCTCCTCTTGGGTGTTAATTGTAGATGTGGGTCACCTCTTGGTAGATGGTACTGTAGTAGATTACATGCTCCTCTTGGGTGTTAATTGTAGATGTGGGTCACCTCTTGGTAGATGGTACTGTAGTAGATTACATGCTCCTCTTGGGTGTTAATTGTAGATGTGGGTCACCTCTTGGTAGATGGTACTGTAGTAGATTACATGCTCCTCTTGGGTGTTAATTGTAGATGTGGGTCACCTCTTCTGTAGTAGATTAGGTGGATTATTCAAGTTGTTTCAATAATTAGTCATTATTTGCTGTTAATGTCACCTTAACCCACTACTTGTTTACATAGCGAATGTGTACACCTCGGCAGGAATGGAGATGGATGATGACGACGATGAAGAGGAGCCAGAGGAAGAGGAGGATGTACATAGACTCAAGAGTCCAAAGGTGGCAAAAGTGGTAAGTGATGATTAATCTGTTGTGGTCTCTTTCAACATTCATAACATAAAAATATTGACATTATCTGCCTCAGTTTATTGGGATGGACATTAAGCTTGATTAACCCTCAAATGTCTGCCATCATTGGGAGAAGTTAGGTTTAGGGTCAGCTGGCATCATTGATGGAAGTTTAACGTTCCTTGTGTTCAATTTTTGCATGTTTGGTGGGGGGGGGGGGGATCCTTTCCTGCCAATTAAGGGTTAAGACTGTCTGTTAGTCCAGTTGCAAGGTCTGGATTTTTTAGATATACAAATAATGAGTTGTGCATTTATAAGAAATGTTGAATTTGTAGGAACTGACCTTGATTTTTAGAATCTCAGTGTTGGATTGACATTTAAGCATTAAAAAAAGACTGTTAGAAATATTTTATATGGAATACAGTAAAGCCTCCGATAACAATGGTTCGACCAACAACTTTTCATATTTAAAACCCTTGTTAATTTAGGACCCAATTCAATTTACGTCCTTATTTCATTCGTATTTACGACCAAAAAAAAAAATTACATTTTCATAAAAATAATAACTAAATCCTGATATGTATTATTAAAAAAAAATACTGTAAAAAAATTAAGAGTGCCTTGTGCAAAGAGGCTGCCATGCTAGAGTGGCAAACAGCAGTTGGAACTTGGCGGGCATTTCATTTTCACGCATCTGGAACAGGAACAAGAGCAAAACTTTCTCGGGTTTCATACAGCATTTTTGCATCCCTATTCAACATGAGCAAGAGAGCAAGTGATGGTAGTGTTGTTTCAAAAGCTACGGTAATAGAAAGTGTATAAGCTTAGCCGAGAAACTAGATGTGTTAAAACGATATTAAAAAGGTGAGAGGTCTGTGGATATTATATGGAGCAAGCAATGAACTTATTTTCTGAAGTGGAGCCATTAACAGAACAAAGCATTAAAATTTGAATAAATGCAAATGACCTCTACATAATGATGTATAATGAGAAAAGAAAGCAGCTGTGCAAGGTTCTTTCGACAGCTAAATTATTTGAAGGCCTAAAACATCAAATTCAGCATCATAAGCAGCTTCAACATCAACTTCAGTTTCAGCAACAGCTTTATGGAAAGCTACAGCTTCAGCCAGAGTTGTACATTTCTTAAAAAGATAAATGACGTGGTATCCTTAAATGTGCACGTATATGTTGGCGTTCCCAATCCATCTTTTTTTTTTTGCCATTTGTGGTTAGGTATTTCTATTGTTCCATTTATTAACATTAAATAACCTTACTTAAAACATAAACATTAATTTTTTTACATTAAAACAATGGCGTCCCATCTCCTCTTGTGTGACCATATTATTATTTATTTATATTGTACAAGGTGCATTCATAAACATTATTTAAAGAATGTAGTTTGCCATTTTCATTAATTGTATTGTTTTGGGGAAAAAGAGGGTAAAAATGCCACATAAAAGATATGAAAAGGTCACACTTGGGAACGCATCTCATTATTATTGCTTTATTTTAATGGTAATTATTGATTCGTGATACGATGATTCACCTTACACTGTAATATTGGAGGACACATAAACGTCGTTATTTGAGGCTTTACTGTACAATACTGTATAAAATCACCAAGTTGTAAAGTCGTGTGAAGGATTTTGGATGTACAGTCGACCCTCGTTAATTCGGACTGATAGGGGGGGAAGGGTGTCCGTTTTAGCCGATTGTCCGAATTAACCGATTTAGGGGTTAATATTGCATTATATTTCAAAGAAAATGCAGTGAGTTTGTCCTTAGCCTTGCATACTGTATATACTCGTCTATAACCCCCCCCCTCGTCTATAGGTCGACCCTGATTTTTTTTACCAAGAATCGTTAATTTACGATATTCCTTGTTTATAGTTCGACCCAAGTTTTTGAGGGTAATGGAACAACAAAACCTTCAGTAAAAACACACTACGTCCTATAAACTGAGGCTCGCCGTGCCTGAAACACAGAGTGCCGAAGGCAAATTGTTTACCATTTATTATTACGACACTTTACACTGAAACGCTGGTAGTTTCAACAAAAATATTGTATATTTCCATTCAAGTATTTATTCAAGTCAATTAGGAGGGAATATTATTGTAATACAACAGTTTTTTAACTAAACCATTCGAAAAGCAATTACGGTAACATCTTTTGAACGAAAGAAAGCGAAAGTCATTGTTTTCGTCACGATTTTATCCCACTTTCCACTGTAATACGCACGTCATTTCAGCAAAAATATTACATTTCCGTGAATGTATTATATCAAGCACAGTATGAATAGAATATCATTGTAATATAACAGTATTTTAACCGAAAACTATTAAAAAAACGAATAACATCTCAAGAACATCGGAAGCTTAGGTAAAGTCTTTTGTTTTCGTCATGTATTTTATCCTATTTTACATTAAAATACATCACGTTTCAGCAAAACTACTATTTATTTCCGAGAATATATTCATTCAGGCACTGTTGAGGTAAAATATACGTGTGATGTAACAGTTTTTTAACTGAAAACGATTCGAAAAACATGTGTACCGTCTAGCTGATACTCAACAGCTGGTGGTGCGTCATGCGTCGTTGTAAACAATAGGAGGTTAAAGTAGATTACCGGGTATTATATTAAGTGTGAAATATCAAAAAGGTTTTTATTACCGGTATTTTTTGTAGATCAATGAGAACTGTGATACCGTATATGATATAAGTTAGCCAGTGCTAAGAACTTCAACATAGACTACTGAAAACACATTGTAAGGTAATTTAGCGTATTGTAAGTTGGTGAGCTTCAGCTGCTGAAGGAACTGCAAAATTTTTCATTACTAATTGGTACATATTTTACATTTCCAGTAAATGGTAAATATTTTTCATGTCTGAAGCTAAAAGTTGCATCCCCCCCCCCCCACACTAGTGGTGGAGATGTTACATTTAACCAAAAAGACGCTGGTGTTTTATCCTAGCAGTGGGTGGACCAGCATTTTAGCTTAAGGTCTGCATAGGTAATATTCCTAAAAAAAAATCAGATTTTGTCCGAATTATCCGAAATCCGGATTAAAGGGGTCCGAATTAACGAGGGTCGACTGTAGTAATTAATATTAATTTTTTTTTTACAGGCTTTAGATGTTGATGATGTTGATGGTGACTCAGTGGAACTTGACCATGAATTTCGCTTTCTGCCAGAAATGGAGGACACTTCTCGTAAGTTACCCCTCAAAATAATTTTGTCAAGTTTTTTTTTTTTTGAAGTACTGTAGTTATAAGTCTTGGATGATCAGAAGTTTGTAGTTTTAGAATTTATTTTTTTATTTTTTTTTAGTAGAACACTTTTTGACTATTTTAAGGAATATAAAAATTAATATTTAGTTTTATCAACATATAGTACAGGAAGTACAGGAGAAGACAATATTTACCATTTTATATATATATATATATATATATATATATATATATATATATATATATATATATATATATACAGTATATAATATATATATATAATTTTTTTTTTTTTTTTCTCAGACACTTTCAGGAATAATATTTGGTACCAGTGGTGCTTATATATGTTGACAGGAATCTTATACTGTTTATGAAACCATTAAGAGTACATAATTAAGATACATTAGTGTCTTGATATATGTGAAAATGTGATATTTTTCACTTGACCATTTGTAGAAGTTGTAATAATCTCACTCTTGTTATTAATAAGGAATCTCTGTGTTTATGAACTTTTTTCAAAGAGGAAGTTCAAGGAAATTAAATCTTATCTCTGGAATGAGTTGGAACAGGTCCCTCAAGTCCTGGGCTGGAGAGGACTGTAGGTCGGATTAACTGATTTGTTTTCATCTCTCTACCACCATATGTTTTAACTATTTGAATTTTTTTGACAGCTCAGTGATTTGTCAGAACTTTTCTTTACACTTATGGCAAAATTTAATTACCTCCTCGCAGTCTTACTATATTTTTGGTTGTTATTGTACAGTAGCTAAAACAACTATCAGTGCATACTTAGTGGGAAACAATATGATACCATGGACGATAAATTTTGGTATATGAGGGCTGTCTTTAGTCACACGTAAAATTTTGGAGTATATCGACCCCCACCTGCACAGATAGTTGTTTTAGCTACTGTACAAGGTCTTCATACAATATATACAGTCAACCCTCGCTTTACGCGGTCCCACATTCCGCGTTTACGCGGTACCCTGCCGAAACTGGAATGCTCACATTCCGTGGTGCTTGTACCCCTTTACGCGGAGAGCGGCTGGCGAGCCGCGCCATTTTTGGATCCAAACCTCCCGCCATCTCTCCCGCCATCCGCCATGTTGTGTAAGCGGCGCGAGTAGGTTGCGCAGTGTGTGTCTTTGTTGCGTTATCAGTGACGTCATACGACGTATCGGACTGTAATTGGGCCATGCATCCTTACCTCCCTCCGCTGCTAGCTGTGATTGGTTTAAAGTAATATGACGTGTCCACCCGCGGGAGGGAGGGAGGAAAGACGACGCTTGACCTAGCCGCTGCAGTTTCATCCCTCCAGGCCACACCGTGTAAACGTGCATACATTGTTCTGTAAAATGGCTTCCGCCGGACCACCGCCCCCAGAGAGAAACCTTTCCTTACCTGGACCCAGCCGCCCTAAGCCAAAGAAGACACGACGTTCCTTAAGCTACGAAATTAAGTATAAGATCATTCAAGAGTTGGAGAAAGGATCAAGACAGGTTGATCTCGCTCGCCAGCATGGTGTTAACGAGTTTACGATCAGGACAATTAAGAAGGATGCAGCCAAGATAAAGGAGCACATGAACATCACAAAGTCTACAGGTGCTTCTATGATCAAGTATTTCCACAACCAGGTGCTTCTCAAGACGGAAAAATTACTTGTGAGCTACTTGGTGCATCAGGCGCGACGGAACATGGCGGTGGACACACGCTCAGTTAAGGAGTACGCACGTGAACTGTATGCTGCAGTGTCACGAAAGATGGGAATTACAGAGCCCAAACCCTATAATGCTTCCTCTGGGTGGTTACAAAGGTTTTACGAAGAGGAACAAGATCATCAATATCAACATTGGTGGTGAAGAAGCTAGTGCTGACCGTGTTGCGGCTGGGGAATTTCCTCCGTTTTTACATGAGATTATGGAGGAAGGACAGTACACCGACAACCAGGTGTTTAACATGGACGAATCTGGTCTTTTTTGGAAAAAGCTACCTTCCAAGACCTTCGTTGTGAAGAATGCCAGCAAGATTCGGGGCCGGAAGTTGCAGAAGGAGCGCATCACCGTCCTGTTTACCACCAATGCCTCCGGTACTTCTAAGCTCAAGTTATCGGTGATCCACACAGCACGCAAGCCGCACGCCTACAAGAGCATGGACATGACCAAGCTAAATGTCCACTGGCTGACTGCACGTAAGGCGTGGATGTTCTCTACACTGTCCCTCTCCTGGTTTGATGACTGTTTTGTTCCCGATGTGAAGAAATTCTGTGAGCAACAGAATGTGCCATTCAAGATTTTGTTGCTGCTGGACAACGCATCAGGACACTCGCCCCTTCTGTTAGATCGTCACCCCAACGTAAAAGTGGTCTTCCTTCCTCCCAACACTACGTCTATATTACAGCCCATGGACCAAGAATTGATCTGTAATGTAAAAGCTGCATTCTCTACTTAAAAATTCAAGCTCCTGAACGACTACACCAACACCAGGGAAGAGTTGTGTAACCTGAGTGACACTAACACCGATAGCAAGAGCGAAGACGACGAGGATCAACAGTTGGCAGAGCAAGAAGTACTTTTAAAACAATTCTGGAGAATATTCAACGTCAAGAAAGCTGTGGACTTCTTGGTGGAGGCATGGGATCAGCTGTCTGTAGCAACTGTTCGTCACGCATGGAGACATGTGTTGCAAGGCATTCCGGCCGCTAGGCAGAGTCAATCTGTGACTGGTGAGGTTCAGACTGTTGCAGTAGCAGTGGACCTTGCCAGAGAAGCTGCGCAGAGTGTTACAGCTGAAGGCTTCTCCGAGACCACCAACGACGACATCCTGGAGGTGATAAGGGATCCAAATGTGACTACCGACGAGATGGTAGATGATGATGATGATGACGGCAGTGAAGAGGCAGGTGGTGCGTCATCCCAAGAAGAACGCCGTTTATCCCATAGTAATGTTAGGGGTGCCATCGAGTGTATCGAGAAAGCCAAGCTCCTCCTTTCCGGCGACCCTGACAAAAACAGGTATGAAATCTTCACTACCCAGCTGTTCCAGACTATGGAGCCCTACATCAAGGTTTATCACGACAACATAAACACCAGCCGTCAGCAAAGCATAACAGAGTTCTTCGCCCGCAACCCACCACAGCCAGCCCAAGCCAGTGATAGTGACAGAGGTAGTGACTTTGAGGGATTTGTCAGGGAGGCCCTGACAAGTGTGGATGACAGTGATGGTGACTCACCTGAGGGCCAGTAGCCTGCCCTCTGCCTCGGAACCAGCCTCCATTCCCGTACTCCGACCCATCTCTTCTACTAACGTAAGTGTTAACCCCAACCTTGTTTTTTTCTAACCTAACCTTCAGTTTATTGACTGTTCCCTTCTATATTATGTGTGGGTGAATACCATCATAAAGTTAAGATGTTATTTTTAGTAAAACGTACGTATTGTGTCGGGAAAAAGTGGAGTTTGGGGGTCGGCCCGTTCTCTATTTCAATTAATCCCATATGTTATGTTGTTCACTTTACGCGTTTCTCACTTTACGCGGTTCGCCGTGGGTTGAATTACCCGCGTAAAGTGAGGGTTCACTGTATATACAGTATATACAGTAGGATCTCAAGTTTAACAGGTTTTAGATTCGTGATTCATATGTTTCGCGTCACGTTTAAAATTTCCAGCCTCTCAAGAATAGCGATTTTCATTCCCAGTTTCACGAGTCATTGTTGAGTGGATAGCAAGCATTGTCACGGTCTTTTGTTATCCGTCGACCCCTCCGAGTGTTTTTTGTTTGCGGCGTAACGGCAGTTAGTTTGAATGAGCGAGCCATACAGTAACCTTGGATTATATAACCCATTGTGCTTACGTTTCGTGAGATTCTTGTTTAACTATTAGCAATTCTTGTGTATTAACGATTCTTGTGTATTTGTGATTCTTGTGTATTACCGAGTCTTGTGTATTGGTGATTCTTGTGTATTAACGATGTGTAGTAATGATGGCTGCAGAGAAGGTCAACAAGGAAAGCCTCAAGCCAAGCGTGACTACCGTAAGGAGGTCAAGAAGAGGAAATACACCCTTGAAATGAAACGACAGATGCTTGAAATGATCAAAAGTGGTGCTTGTACCTGTGAAATCATGCTTAGGTTCAACTGCCCTGAATCAATCATACATTCCCTTAAGAAGAACAAGGAAACGTTAACTGCTTCTGTGAATGTGTGATCAAGATTTTCTAGTAGCAGGACGTTCTCCGATACTTCACAATGAAACCTGCTGTTAGTTATCACATAACATTACTTTCACAAGTTGGTGGAAAGAAGAAACTGTGAGTAGGGTGACCTGTCTCGGCTACAGATAAGGCATCAGGCACGTATTTATTACGCTGCAGTTGCACAGAAGAAACATGTTAACTCTCCACCACCGTTCAATGCTTCTTTTGTTTGGTTGGCTGCCTTTAAGAAGTGTTATGAAGTCAAGTTTGTCCACTACCATGAGGAGAGTGCATCGGCTGATGTCATAGCAGCAGAAAAATATTAACCTGTCTTTCAAGCTCTTGTGAAAGAGGGTGGTTATTGGTGATACCAGATCTTCAATTGTAACGAAACTGACATTTTCTGGAAGCACTCACCAAAGACCACTTTCATTGCCAAGGATGAAAAACAGGCAAGGTGGTGTAAAGACTGAAAAGGACATGATTACAGTTTTATTCTCAGCTAATGCAAGTGGAGATTTCTTGATGAAACCCCTGGTTGTTAATCGTTCTGCCCGTCCTAGAGTCTACTGTCATGCCAATATGTCGCAGCTCAATGTTTATTGGACGTCTAATAAGATAGCTTGGGTTACAACGTCTTTATGCACCGATTGGTTTGACAAGCACTTTGTTCCTGACGCCCAACAGTACTGCCGGAGGAAGAACATTGATTTCTAAGTGATCCTGGTGATGGATGATGCTCCTGGTCACTCTTTAAGTTTCTAATTGGACGCCACCCTAATGTACAAGTTAT